ATTTTCTTGTTAGTCCTTGGAGAAAAATAACTTTAATGGCATTATAAATGAACATAACCAATATTTTTTGAATAACCCATTTTCCATTTCAAAGCTATATTTTTTCATCATTGATTCCTAATGAAAATGAATTACATCAAATATACCACAGAATGTCAAGATGGCAATTAGTAATTTCATGTAATTATGCAAGATTAGGTTCCAATAGAGCTTATTGCATCAAAAGCAGTCTTTACATTTCATCATGCAGAATAATTCTACAAATAATGCATAATACTAAAAACATATAAAGATTTAAATATAGTAATGCGTTAAGAATCCAAGAAAATATATTTCATTACTAATGACCCACAGTACCTTAAAAAAGGACACATTTAATGCTTACTTTAAGTTGCTTAAGCTGGTTCATTGCTTAATATACTACAACCAATATTCAAGCTATGAAAGCTGTGAAAAATGTAACCATTTCCTTAGCTAGTATTTTAGCTCGCATTGGTTATCTTCTAAAAGAACAGTGTGTCCCAAAAACACTGAAACAGGCATTTCTTGCACCAGAGGCAAAATAACTGCCATCTTGAAAGGGAACTGTAAAATGGGGTCAGGATTTCAATCACATTCTGAAACCCACAAATGACGCTGCTTAGCACTGCAATTCCCTTGCCAAACCCACATAACCCTTCATATTAGCATGAGGCAGGCTGTTGGCAAGGCCATACTTGATCCAAGAGCTTTCATGATACCATGTCTAAGATTAATGCTAAATAACAGCTACATATTTCCATCCAAATGAGTCAATATACACATCATATAGGTTTCTTTCCAGTGATAGTGAAACTAGAGTCCTTACTATCTGCCAGAAACTTGAATTCATCTGCTTGAATATCATAAAATGTATAAACCCATATTAAGTAACAAAATTAAGATTTCTCAGCAGTACTAAAAAGCACAATACCATCCAGAATGACCTTCAGCTATGGACACTTTAGGTACACATTATATTCACATATAATAATACACAAGGATCCACAGAAAGATAAATACGCAAACATGAGGCCATCTAATCAAAGCTAGGGGACGTAACTTATGGATCTATACCACGAAAACCAATCACACTTGGAGCAAGTGTCAGCTACTTGCAGTGCAACTATAGAATGTGGAAAATAAGCATAAATATTCCACTTCCAACAGCCGCATCATCACCAACAGACCTGCCTTTCCAATTGCCTCAACTATACCTGAATGGGTAAAATTTTGCTTTCTAGAAATGCCTACCCTTGTCAAGCTAGCTTTCTGTTCAATAGAAATGAGCAAGCATGTTTAAAAACCCTATTCCAATTGCACTCAGCACAATATCTTTACGAGCAACACATCCTCACTCTGGTTTAGGAGTACAGCTGTCCCAAATACTCGATAACCTGCTGGATACCGGCACTCCAGAATCAGGGTTGCTTACCCCTGATCTATGGCTAACCTCGTATTATTGGTTGAGTCTGTTAGACCTGAATGTCTTCTTTTAAGATGTAATAGCATTGCAGACATGCTGCTGTGATATTTAAGATAGATAGGCCATAGATAAGATTCCATTTGGCCTCGGAGTAGCCTGACCAGTCATTGTCATCTTTTGACAAACCTTTTTTTTTTTTTTAAATAAAAAAAATTTAAAAAAAACTTTGTGATTGTAGAATGTCAAAATAATCAATGCTAAAACAAAGGACAGCCACGCTGCTTAGCCACATCACATTACATAATATGGTACATAATACCCAATAATACCCATATATATTTTTTGTGAACGTATTGTGTGTTTTGAGTACATCAGTTCATACTGTGATATTTGATGTTTTTCAGATATTAAGGAGTTGAAAATTAACTATAGCCAAGTAGAACTTATCTATAAGTTGTCAAATAAGTTTGTGGTGTTGCCAGGAGTTGTGTGCAACTTAAGTGAAGTGGAGTGGCTAAACTGACCGTATGTGTGACTGATGTGCACCCTGCAGAGGTTGGCTGGTTCCTGCCTGGCGCCAGCTACGGTGCATTTATTATACATAAATGATTACTCGATTACTTGTCAAATTAAATCAGTAGATTAAGCAATATAAGATTAATCAATAATGACAGCTATACTTTAGTGCAGGAAACAGGGAGCCATTCCTGTGTCACATGTTGAACTCACCAGCTTTATTGGCTAACAAAATAAACACACACACACTGAGGGGGTCATGTCCCTTTTGTGAGGTTATCGGTCCCTGAATGAGCAAAGCATCTATAGAAGCCTATAACAGCCACCAACCACCCATCAACCCAAGGTTGGTGCGCATACATATTTAATTTCTTAACCTCATTCCTAAACGATAACTACATACCAGGGAAACCTTATATTTTTATAAAAGAATGAACAAAAACAGTTAATAGAAGGGGAAACCAGAGAAATCAGTCTGCTCCATTGACCAAAAAGTAGCCGAAGCCAATTTTCATCATTATGTGCATCAATCTTTAAAAGCTGCAGAATCCTCAATAGAAAATATCTTAAAACTTTAAGATATCGTGGTTCATCTTTTCATTGAGAATCTTTCATTAACAGCCTCAAAATGGAATGCAGGGACTTTTACTGTAAGATCACACAAATGAGCATTTTAAAATATAAACAATCGTTAGAATATCCAAAATTCAGGTGCAAAAGGCCCAAGTGGCTGGGAATGACGGAGATGGTTAACACCTCTCACAAAGAGGGAAGGAAAGGTCATGAACTTCAAAAACAAGTGAGGATCCTCTAACAAATTACCTGCTGAGCACTTCTATTCTTTATAGGTAGAGGACTTTGATGCCATTTGCGAATGTGGGATTAGGAAGACAGAAATAACAGGGACGTGCAAAATTCTCTAGAAACTATTTCAAAAGTTTGATAAAGCCACTAGGTTCAATACATAGAGATTATCTGAATATTTGAAGCTAACTGATGAACTACATAGCTTAATTCTGCACGTATAGAAATCTAGATTTCAAAACACAAAGCCACATACAAATAACATTACTTCCTAAAAACAATACATCCTTCCAACTTCCATCGATGCAAGTTGTCAGACTTACTTTCCAATCTAGGTCTCTGGAGTCAGTCTGAATTATAGCAAAGGATTGGAATACTTCTGTTTAAGATATTGCGTGGAGTTGTCATGATTCAGTTTCACAGTTTTTCGTGAACCTTTGCATTGATTTATTAAATTTATTGCAGTACTATTATATACTGGCAGATATTGAATGTTAAACATTTTTTCAAAATTTGCTTCTTTAATCATTTTCAATAATTGTTTATGTAGCCTGTGCTACATGCGCTGCAATGCAAAAAATTCAGTCTAGTGTCTACCTCTATAATGTTACAAATGTGCCATTCTGTTTTATCACATTTGCTGTTTTAAGAACAGAAATGTGCACTTTATGTATGCAAAATGAAATGCATAGTTTATACAATTGGCAGTTGAAGAGAGCAACATCTTTATTAAGATACTGACTCATCAATGTCATCATTAGTAGTTAAATACTGGTAATGCCCATTAATTAAATTTGGGCTGTTTTAAATTTTAGTAGTTCCATTATTTCAATATTGTTAACAATAAGGATACAATGGTACTATCATGATGCATAGTGCTGCCTAGAATCCTGAAGCTGGTACCATGAGGAGTATTGTATGAAAGACTAACTGGAAGTAACCAGCCCTACTAAACATACTTGAACAGGCAAATAATTTAGTTGGCAAGACATCTCAGAAATCAAATCACTGTGCTACAGAAGATAATTTAAGGCAGGGGTCTCCAACTCCGGTCCTGGAGAGCTACCGTCCAGTAGGTTTTCTATCCTACTCGGCTTCTGATGAGCCACACCTGTTCTCAGGTAAATACCAGGAACAGGTGTGGCTCATCAGAAGCCAAGTGGGACAGAAAACCTACTGGATAGTAGCTCTCCAGGACCGGAGTTGGAGACCCCTGATTTAAGGTGTTTTGAAAGGTCAACTACCAAGTGATAAAGACTGTAAAATTATGAAAATAGTAAAAGGTTTCCCTTGCATTGGAAACATTTCTCAAACTAGGGATGAGCTCAAAAAAATCCTCATAAAAAAACTTTCCATTAAAAACCATTATGAGATAGATCTTAAATAAAAGAGACTTGTGGTGTGTCATTCCAGTCTTTAGGATTATATCCCTGTTAGCTAGTAACCTACTACAGTTTAGTTAGCAAGTCAGAACAAAGCAGCAACTCTTTCAAGACAAATTATTTTGCATGATGAATCAGATGGAGAAGCCTGAAGACAATGGCACATTAAAATGAGAAGGAGTACCAATTAAAAGGAACATGCATAACAGTTTCAGCTGCCACTGAAGTGGGCCATACATGAATACAATAATAGTTATATGCAAGTATACATATCCATCACCTAAATAATAATTACTTCCAAAATCCGGTAATATGATCATTTTACCAGGCACACAAATACATTATTGATTCTGCCTTTCTATGGTTGTGGTGGTGGTGGTGTGTGTGTGGGGGGGATAACCCCATTACAAAATACGTTTCTTTCAAATCAATTCAATACATAATGTTGCCGATCCACCCCAGCATATACTTCATGAATATGACAGTCGAGTAAAACATGTTGTCATCAGGGCTACCTTTTTATATGTGTATGAATGACAACGGTGATAATTACAATATATTACAATATATTAGCGCGGATCCTATCCTTCTCACGCATACCCACGCGGATATTACACACAGGTACATTCATTCATATACAGACACACGCATTGATTACACAGATATACGTATTATATTGCTGTAGTAACATGTAGCGATATCTTCATTTTGAATGCTGTAATCCAACAGGCACAATATAGCTTAGTATTTTCCATTACCAGTTCTACACCGTATAATCAATCCGACTGAAAAAACAAAAGTAGACGACCTCGTGAGTTGCATGCCCTGTGAGCAACAACGGGTGCACATCTTACCCTGGCCTTCTTTCTAAGGGAAATTTTTAGATGAGGGGCTTACGACCCTGTATCAGCTGAACCGTTGGCTAGGCACATAGTTTTCAATTTCCAGGACAACAGTAATTCACTCCTCAAAAGGACGTCCATCCTGCAAAATTGGATGCATCCTGCTCTAGACTAGCTGAAGCCCATCCTCTCCAACGTGAAAACTCAGCCCACAATTGTTTCGGTTCAATCCGGAAGTCCAACTCAGGGCTATGGAGATTGGATAATAACCAAATAAAAAATTCACACCGGCATCTTCCAGCCAATCGGAAAAGCGATCAGAGTTAAAGAGGCACTAAGATCAAGGGCCGGATATAAAACACCCCGACATCCCTTTGTTACGGTCCTGACCCACATCAATGGAAAATATATTTTAGGATTCTTGTGAAATTAAATACAAAGGGTAACCAAACATTAATAAGTTCCTCTTGGGGCAGCAAATATATAGAGTGAATTCTGGCACCTCAGGGTTGTGTTTATAATATTGCATGATGTTTCATTATCCGTAATAGCTGGATGTCTAATAATAACCGCACACGAACTAAGTCGTTCGATCAAATCAGGGAACTGGGTTACATCAACCGTTACTAAAATTACTTGCACTTAAAGATATATTAAACACCATTTACGTGATGATCTGAATTTTACAAGGGGAGATGTGGTTATGTATCTCCAACCATTCATGGCATGCTTCGCAATGACCCCCAAAAGACTTACTCCACGTTTTACTTTGTATTGGTTTAATTCTTAATGTTAAAGGGCGTAAAATAAAAAGCGCTACTTCAGTCAATTATAAAACAACTGGTTTATTTCTGTACCGCTAAATGGGTCAGTGAATTTCAATTACGTTCACGAATTATCAGTTTAAGTTTATACAACAATAATTTTTTTCAGTATAGTAATCGCAGCTGTATTTCGGCGGAGGGGTGAATATTCAATTTGTTAGTAGGCCAGAAAATAAAGTCCCATTTTATTATGGGCGACGAGGAAGAAAAATCGTAAAATTGTACTCGATTTAAAAAAGTAACATCGGGTCTTAGCATGTTTGTTTTCCACAATAATCAAGCGAATGACAACACTGCAGGCAATCTATTTTCTGCGGTCTGATCATTTATTGTGACGTCACAAAGCAAACATCCGACGAGATTAAGATAACTAGCTAGCTGTAAACTACAACATCTAACGATTAACTTTGTAAATTAGTTACAAATATTCACTAGTACTGACATCTGACAAAATCAACTGAATTCATTCCTTATTCCATTCAAGTCATTTCTTAGATTATGTCCATGTCGATATGCAGCTTTGAACACGTAGGATGTGACCACAATGCTGAACAACCGTTTATCTTTCATACAATGTCTACTAATATAAAAACTTCAGCTAAGGAAATGTGACTTGCCTAGCCAGCTATTTCAAAATTTAAGGCGCTGCAAGTGTTTTGCAGACAATTATATTTTCAGTTGAGTTAGTCACATAGTTACCTCTTAGATAGCTGGAAGTAACACATCAGGTCCGAGATCAGCGTGCTTGCTACAACTGTTGATCCTGGTAATTTCACTTCCATTAGCTAGCTAACATTTATAACCATATTCAGTTTATTATTATATATTATTAACGATACTAAACGCAAATCGTTCAGTTTGCCTGCTAAATTTGAGCTAACGTTGCCCATAGGACTTCTTTGTTGCCGCTAAGACTATACTTTTTAGGGCAGTGATTTAAAAATCAACATTATAAATCGCTTCAAGAGCGCTCATACTCACTCTCCACGAAGTCGAGCATTAGGCATTGTTTGAAACAACGTTATGCTTTACTATTTTACAACCAGTGTCTGCAGCACTGGACCAAATCACTGCTGCTTTCTGCGGCAGGAACTTCTGACGCATGCGCAATAAGGCAAAACATTAGCGACGTTTTGGGCGGAGTAAGATTTCAGATCTGTAAGCATAAATTACCTTTGTTGTATTCTCCGGCCTTCAGGGAATACTTATGGTTTTAGCACTGTTCCCCTGCCGCCACAGATACTTTGGCATGAAAGCCAATAACCCATAAACCGTTTGACGAATCCTTTTCAAACTTTGTACAGGTATTAGTGAGGAACTAGAACTCATTTAATTTTGAGACAGCCCCAAAATTGAAGCAGCGCCACATAGTGATAATGAAAAAAGCAGCAGTTTTGATACTTGACCCCGTTAAGACCATATTTCAATAAACATTTGATGGATCTTTTTCAGTCTTTGCAGAGGCATTATAGGGGGCCCGCAAATTGAAGTAGCAGTGATAGTAAAACAGAGGGCAGCTTTTACACTTGATCCCGTTAAGACTGTAACTCGAACAGTTTTTGACAGGTCCTACTGCCATTGCAGAGGTGTTTTATGGGTGCTGCAATGAATGATCAAATTGCCCACTGGAGGGCAGACCCATGTACTGTAACTCTTTAGTGCCCACCTGGGCCCTAAGGGTAGAGGCCGATCAGAAGACCTGACCCCAGGGCAGGACCCTGTTACCCCTAATCCGGGCAAAGTTACAGGGTCCTTTCTGTTTCTCTTCATAAGGGTCTTTCTGAATCTAACTTTCTCTGGCTTCTCGCTTAGGGCCAGTTTGCCTTGGGAGACCTTACCATGGGAAATTGCCCCCAACAACATAACTCCTAGGATCACAGAGGCCTACAACCCCCTCCACCAGGATAAGGGGGCGATTCATGCGTGTGTGGTGGTCTCGCATAAAAAGGTTGTGCATACTCTGCTCATATTGTTAAAAATGGAGTAACACTTTGCTATGAATGTTTAATTTTAGTATGAGCCCACATAGTGAAGTCTTTACTGTTTACACATAAACACTCAAAGAGGATGTAGCTGAGGTCCTGGATTCAGTCTCCTGCATTTTCTCTCTGACCTCCTCAAAGAATTTTGCGCTAGGATTAATTCAATATATTTTAACAACTTATAAAAAGACCAGAAGAGTTAGGGGCAACATTTTACTTGAGGGGGTACAAATAATGTAGTAGTACACTCTTACTTAATTTATTAATTAACCAGAAAGTGTTAGTTATATACTGATCCCATGTTCATTCATTGTTAATCAGGACAGTTACTGTATTTGTTCATGATTTATACTTGAGTAGTTACTGAGTTATTACTGAGTAATGTATATTTGAAGAATATAAAATATAATAATACATGTGCTATATAAATCAACAAACCATTGTCTTTTCCTTTTATCCAATGCAGGGCTGCAGCAAGAAGCATACAGAGGACACGCCTTAGGCAGGATGGTAGCCTGGATCTGGGCTCACATACTGGTTCACATGTGGGCAATGAAGAAGTAGCACTTCATGTGTATGGGAGAAAAACAGCAGCCAGCGGAATCCTATGCAAACTCAGTGAGAATTAACCCCCCGGACCCAGGCCTGGGGCAGGAACTGGAGGAATCCTGGAGGTAGGTGGTCATAATTTTGGTCATATAGCTACCTTGATTTATGATATTTAGTAGTCTGTTTTCACATTGCTTGATTTTTAAAATTCTCCTCTGGCATTTATTTTCGCATACTGTATTTATGAATTGCTATTATCCTTGGTACATGTTTATATTTGCTAATAATTGAAATTGAAATAAACATGATTATTATTAATCCATCCTGCTACCACATATCCTAGACATCAGGGCCTAGAACTTATCCCAGGCAGCATAGGACACAATGGTATACTTTGGATGGGATGCCAGTCCATTGCAGGGAATGCACAACTGTGGGCAATTTAGAGATGACAATCTATTATTGTTAGGATACCTATTGTTTTTAGTATTTTTCACTATTATTATACTTTTTGCCACGGGAGTCTATTGCAGTCCATTGAATTGAATGGCAACTTTTTTGAACTTTGGCACATCAATAGAGGTCAGTTCCAACTATTCATACCAAATTTGGGGTCAATCTATCCATCACTCTAGCGCCACCCTCAGGCCAAATTTCAAGATATGTTTTTGCTTTAACTTTTGAACCCCTTGGCCTAAATTTGTGCTCTTTCATTCCTCTGAATCCTTTGGTCATCCTGATTCGAATGCATCCATTGCCATTAATTTCCGTATTGGATTTTCCACCATTTTTTATATTTTTCTGAAAACCTACTTTTGTGAACTTGTACTAGGCAATTGATCCAATCACTATCAAACTTGTTGTGCGTGATCTATATGGGATTGGGACCAAAGAGTCATACTATATCAAATGCTATGTCCACTGTCCTCCAAATAATTTCATGACAAAACCAGCTAAACAGGATGTGAGGCAATAACTCAGCAATGCTTTGATATATCAAAGTCAGATTTGTTATTGTATTTTAGTGAACATTTAAGTATTTTCCACAGGCCAAAAATTTGGTCCAATCATTGATTTTGTAATTTCGCACCCTGACAGAGGCCCATCCAAAATACTGGCTCACCAAATTTGGAGGTAATCCATTCATCCCTGTAGCACCACCATCAGGTCAAATATCAAGATATGTTTTTGCTTGTAACTTTTGAATGCTTTAGCCTGGGATTGTAATTTTTGGTGTGTTTGAATCCATAGTTTGTCTTAATTTGATTGCACTCATGGATCTTAAGTCTGTCGTATTGGGTTTTTCGCCATTTTGAATTTTTCTGAAAAAACGCTTTGGCAAACTTGTCCTAGGCTATTGATCTAATCATCACCAAATTTGGGGTGCATCATCTAGAAGGGATTGTGACCAAAGGTTACTCAAAGTATTCTGCTAAGTCAAATGCTATGGCCACTATCATCCAATGAATTTGATGACAAAGCCACTGAACAGGATGTGTGGCCATATCTCAACAAAACTTTGATTGGTTAAAATTAATTTGGCGACTGGACTTGGGGCCCAATTCTGAGGAATAAGAACAAAAATGGCCAGCCTGATACATTGAGATTTTCATGTCCACCTAATTGCTGCAGTTGCCATATTCAATTTCATTGGAAATTTAGGAATTTTCCAAAGGCCACAAATTTTGTCCAATCTACACCAAATTTGTATAGAAATACCAGAAATAGTCTTTGTACCCAGCCTCAGAAGGGAAACCAGAGGGACTTTTGACTTTCAAAGCAGTTTGTCCATCACAGCCAATTGATTTTGGCAGTGACGCCGCCAATCAGTATGTGTTGACATATCTCCGCAATTCTTTGGTCCTTTGAGACCAAACTTGGTATTTGGACTTGGGGCGTGCACCAAATTTGTGTCATTTGACCACTGGGGGGCGCTGCAGTATTTTTTCTAATAGATTTTGATGTATTGGCCTTTCAAAAGTTGTTGTTATGACTGGGGATTGTCAGGATTTGTCAGTGTTTTTATGTAGCCTTTTGATCATGTTTATATCTATTCGTAATAACATCGTTTTCAAATGTGCAACAACACAAATTATTTGTGACTGTGAAAGTCATGACAGCCAGCTGATTGGCTGATTTATTTGCCAAAGCCTTCACTACATAATGTTCTTATCTCAATTCTTTTCCTCTTTCCCAGCTAACTGCCTCCAGATTCTACCAGTAGTACAGAGCAGCACTTGGTCACACTTTGAAGTGCAGAGTTCAGTCTTTAATAAAATCAACCAGCCAAAGTGTGATTTTGATTATGTTACCACACATTATATAAGGGAAAAAAATTAAAACAGGTGACATGAAGTGTATAAATCCAAAATGTAATGTGCTCAGAGCCAGGCTTGTTTAAAAAACTGATTTTAAACATGAATTTCATGCAGTTACCCAAAATGAATTAAAAACAAATGTCACTTGGTGGGAAAATTTGTGTTTTACTGAATTGTAACAGAGGTAGTGAAGAGTATGAAAAGCACTTCAACTATACATGGAGAACAGAACACCACAAACACACAATTCACACACTGTTATCAGAGCTTCATTTTCTATGAGTAGAGTTTAAGACATTTGGAGACAATTAACAGCTACACAACAAAGACAAATGACCCATATAACTACTTAGGAATACTATTTCTATGTCCAACTTCACAATTAAGCTGCATCTGTATTAATAAAATTGATAAACTTTATTATTTCAATGATGCATTGTTCAGCTTTATTTGCTCTTCTTGACAAAAAAGAATGCCCTTTATTTTCCTGTGGGAGAAATAAACACAGCAGTATGATACATATATTTAAAAAAAATCACACAAACAAAAACATCAGTCCTGCTCCTGAAAATTTGATTTAGAAAAATACACCCAACAATTATGATTATTATATATATATATATATATAATGCTATATATCAGGCTTCCCCAGTTCCAGTCCTGGAGGACCAGTTTGCAAGGACCTGCCTAACACACCTACTAAACCTGGCAATTGGCTGGTAAGCTGAATAAGGTGTGAGTATTGAAATCTGCAAGACTGGGTGTAGACTGGGCCTCCAGGACTGGAATTGGAAAATCGTGGGGAATTGAAAGCACATACTTTAAGTTATCACGAAAAATAACTTTTATTTTAAAGTTTCATAATGAAATGAATTTGCTCATCAAGATATTCTGTTTGGCAAAGTATTCCAGTCCTTGGGTTTTAAATTACCCACCGTAAATCTTTTTCACCAGATGCACAGTAACAGTGGCACATCATCCCGCTAAAGCAGAACTACATTGTCATTGTATTAAAGGGGTGAGTGTGCTCCAGCATCCTCAGTGTCATTCTCCCAAGTTACTATACAGCAATTAACAATCACTGACGGTTGCTAGTAATTAAATGCCTAATAACCATCATGCAGTGATTGAAAATTTCAGTCTCAGCCATTGCAAATGGAATTTTATGCATAGCTATTTAACAACAATAGTAGTCCCTGACTGAGGTGAGTACGAGTCCAATCTTTTCATAGCTATTTCCTAGCATGAAGTATGGCTTAAGAGGCAAGTTTATGTATGCAGACAATTGCATATTTTAACTGATACAGGAATGCCACTTCGGGGCCAATGACATTCTGACCTCAGTAAAATTCCGGAAGATATTTTTCAGCCTGGATACTTCTCTCCCGTGTAGCAGTTCTCCGCATAACAGCAACAAGTCATACGTGATGATACATAAATGTGATCTGCTGCTGAACTCAGAATTTTCAAGTAATTGTGTGGACCTTTCTCCATTACAAACTGATAGGATGAGCTCATTCACGCGTAAAACTGCATTGTTGCGTCCAGTGTGACAGTGAGCACTCAGTACCACACCCCCACATTACTGACGTCTACATGAACTAGCCTTTAATGATTTACCAGGGTCTGAATTATCTTCTGATGAAAGTGCTGCACTTGTTACAGTGTAATTAATTAGATGCGCCCCCCTTCTTAATTTAGAGATCAGTACCATGCAACTCTCTTCCAAATGACTGTAATAAAACCTGTAGCTCCTCTGAGAAGTTATGCTAAGTTTATATTTTAGAATATGAGTAGAGTCTATTTCATGACAAGGTAAACAAGGTAAATAAGGTAAATAATGAAATCTACATTAACCATGTATCCATCTATAAATTGCTTATCCTTGTCAGGGGTGCGGGCTGTATTAATCAATGAACCAGTAAATAATTTTAGCTGAAAGGGCAACTTCAGTTCTGAGGTACTATTTAACAACTACTTGCTCATTTGTACCATTTGGTTAATATGGTGACTGTGACAAAGGGTACTTGGGAAATAATGTCAAGGAAATATGTATATAGAAAGTGAAACTTTCTCAGCTGCTTGTCATACTATTAGTAGTACATAAAGAATCCTTTTTGTCAGGAGCTACACATCTATCATAATCACATGATCACATGACATTTTATGCATGTGATACGGTATTGTGTCTTTAGTTATTTAAAATAAGGAAATATATTTGTAGAGAACAGAACAAGTGATGGGAGTGGATTACAGCCATGTGGATTACAGATATTATAAAACTAACTTTTGTTGTAAGACATAGGAAATAAACATTTAGCAGCTTAGCAACACATATAAGAAGCTTTCAAAGATTAATGTTAGTATATTCCTGTCAATTGCTACCCTTTGTATGCACAAATAAAAGCAATATTGTTATGGTAACAATGACTCCTGAGACTTTTCTTCACATTAGTAGCCTGTGATATGTTTAATAAAAGTAACAATAGATCTACCATTTACAGTAGCATCCTCCTTAAACAGCAAGACTGACATTACTGAACCTAAATATGTACTGATGGTTTGTCAAGTTTGTTTATCCATTCATTAAAAAAACAAAAATATTTCAAAATCCAAATTACAAAAGTGGCATCAGTACATGAAGATGTCCTGATCCTCCCAAACTGAAGGCACTAGAGGTCCTGAATGATTGTTTCTTTAGTAGACCATCTGTGTGTGTGTGCAGTAAAGTAGACCCAGTGGAGAAGGATAATTGTGGCCTACTTCATGCCTGAGCGCTGCTCATCTTCTGCAACAAGGGAATCTGCATTGAAATACAAAAAATTAACAAATAATATTAACAAAATCTCCTTTATGCTTACCATATGTAGACCTACAGGTAATCACTATCTACAATTCACGTTATGTATAATGTGAGCACTATTACCAATGTGCAGGATGAAAAATACAACATTCAAGCCAATGTGGCATTTCAAGGTTACTTGGATTTACACTGCATATTAGTTTCACAAAGGGTTTTCTGCCATTCACCATGCAGCAACCTTTACTGATTATGATTTAAGTAAGATTGGCTGGGAAAAAATTGGTCTCGTACTTTGGATAGATCAATTCCTGTAAGGGCATTCACAGACACAGGCAGCTCCGCCAGAAGGCGATTCACCTCCCCGGTCACATGGCTCCCATCCCCACTCAGGATGACAATCTCATTGGTTCTGCCTAAGGGGGCGGCAACATTCGCTGCAATCTGAATAGACAAACCAAAGATTAAAAAAAAAAAACTGACTAATGCATCAATATCTATTCAGCATTTCAGTCATGTTAACAAACTGGATCTTAGAAAAATAGCTGTAAAACATAAATGATCACAAAAAGAAGCATTCATAGAATACGTTTTCTGAACTACCCCAACAACATACATTTTTGTTACACATCTATACACTTCATTACACAAATATTTTGTTTGTGGTCATAAATACTGTCAGTGGTGGAAGGAATAATTGTTATCCCTCATGTGTTATTCCTGTATTTCATCAAATGGAAACATAATCCAAGGTGTTCTGTTACAGTTCTGGGCAGGAAGAATACAAAGTATTCCTTATATTACAAGCGATGGCCAAGGTAATCTTGAATATAAGATTAGATAACATTAGTAGGACTGATAAATTGCATGAATTTCAGGTACAATAAGCATCACCCCTTTTCTGAAACATCATTGTGTTAGTGCTGTTTTGTAGTGATGGACAAAATGATGCTTCATTAACTATTTACCATATTTTTTGACTCAGCTAGATGGTGCACTCCAAAGCAAACCAAAAGCACCATCTAGTGTTTTCAAAAAATACAGCAAATGGTTCATGAAGCATCAATTTGTCCATCACTACTGTTTTGCCTTTTTCGTTTTTGTGTGTAAGAAAAATTAATAAATTTCATATTCTGGAATAATAATAATAATGCTACTCAAGGACCTGTAGATGTGCCAAGGGCGGGTTCAAACTGGCAACCTTCTGATCACAGGCACACAAGCTTAGCTCACTGAGCCACTTGCTGCCCCCATTTGTTAGTGTTTTTAAAACTACACTTTTGTTAAGACTACTTTTCTTTAAGGGAGGCTACCTAGTGCACCCTTCACTGTTTCACAGCTGTAGTGTGTGTATGTATGTACTCTGCATTTTAACTTCTTTACTTATCTTACATATACGCAGAGTTGGTTTATAAAGAGGAAAGCATTAATAAAAATTAACCTTTGGGAGAGCCTCAAGGACCAGAGCAGTTTTGGCTGCCTCTCCATACTCTAGGTAGGCTTGTGCTTTGAGCCTCATTTTCTCAGCCTCAGCTTTTCCCAAAGCCTCAATCGAGCCGGCTTCAGCTTCACCCATCTTCCGAATCTTCTCTGCTTCAGCCTGAGCTATCAGCACGTTTTTGATCCTGTTGAGGAAGATAATAGGGATTGGTCAACATGATTTTTCAGAATCCCAAAATGATATGAGACCTTCAATTTAAACATAAAAATTTTAATAGAAAAAAGACTTAATAAAGAAACAAACCTATATGAAAAAGCAGGTATCTTACAATAAAAGGAAATGGGGTAAGTAATTCCTACTGTTGACTCTTAAAAGACAATGAAATACCCACTGATGCCCCTTATATGGTGTACATGCAGGTGAACAGATGCCCCTCTGATTGTACAGAACTACATAGATGTATGGCTTTTGGGTACCATGTGGATCAGTGGGAGGGGCTTACTTCAGGCCTTCTGCCAGCTGCTGCATCCTGTAGGCCTCAGCTTCTGCTGGTCTCTTGATAGTAGCAATCAGCTCTTTCTCAGTCCTGGCGATCTCATTTTCCTCAACAGAAATCATTTTTTTTCTTTGAACCACCTCGATCTCAATCTCCTCCAGTCGAATCTTCTGCTGCTCCTTGGCTGCTTGAAGTTCATAGGCCAGCTGGGCCTCAGCTTTCTGATTAGAGTAGAATGAGAACATCCACTTTTACTTTCCTACAGTTCAGACTATATGCTGTCAGTGCAAAAAATACTCAAGTATTCTGCTCACAATTTACTAAACAACAATCCAAGCAAATTCTTGCGATTCCATGTAAAATACAGCCCTATCCCAATGATAAATGACAGTAAATTTAACAAACAATAGCGATGCAATGGTAGAAATTTCACAATATATCTTTAAATTATCGGTAAGTCTTGGTCGATATAGCTAGCTGATATTTACACTTTACTTTAATCAACATGAAATTGTTAGAATTAAGTAATAAATTTATGAATGTGTCCTCAAATTATCTGTATTACGGTATACTGGGGCTCTGTAAATTTAAACACATTGTAGAGAAAGCTAATTGTTGTCAAGGCTATTGTCAGATAGGCCATTTGTGGGTGACTGGCAACTCTATACCAGCCAGTCAGCCAGTGTCAATCAAAATATGTTTAGTGTATTAAACTGTTAGTCCAAATGCCTCTTCAAGCATGGCCGGATAAGCTTAAAAGTTAAGACCTTTTGCTCACTGTCTGGTCCCCCTCCACTTCAAAAATCACTCTAGCTCCCCTGCCTTTACCACTTAGAACCTCGCTACAGTCTCCCTAGTTGGAGATACTGTGCATAACATTACCCACATAAGTTTGACTACAGATTTATGGAGCATTGAGGTTATTGGTAATATTAGCTAAAAATATATTGATTATTATTCCTGGTCAAAATTTCTACATCGGTGCACCACATTGTGCAAATAGTAATATGTCTCCCATAGATTCAGTGCATATTTTTCAAATGTATAACTGTTCCATCAGCTCCATGCCAAAATATTCAATAGTGTGGTGTCCTCCAAAATGCTGCACAGCTATTTTACGAGACAGCAAACTACATGTGATATATTTTGTATGTTTAAAACTACATAACTTCCTAGTACCTTGGTGTTTACTTCTTGGTTAAAAGCAGCTTTCTGCATTTCCAGCTCACGTTTGGAGTCAGCCATTTTGGTGTCAGCCTGGAATTTAATGTCCATCATCTCCTTCTTGCACTCAGCTTCCTGAATGGAAAATAACATTACAGGTTACAAATGAACAATATACTGACGAGGCATTCCTGTTTCCTTTTTTCGGCATCCCATTTAAGAGCTTCTCACTTTTATCCCAGCATCCCTCTCTGCCTCAGCCACACCAATGTCTGCATCCCTCCGAACCGCTGCTGTCTGGGACTTTCCTAGGGAGCTCAGGTATTCCACTTTGTCGTAGACATCCTACAGGATCAAGAACCATCAGCTCAAACTCACATACAAGTTTCACCTTGACATTACTCGCACTACCTTGGTCAATGCAGTTGGACATTGATCATTCACATATACACCAATTTGAGATGCCGTCATGCATAATTCATCTCGATAAACAAAAATAGGAGTAATAATTTAACAAACACAGCAAGCCCACTACATATCTAGATAAAAAAATAAATATTCTTGACAGCGTATTAATGGATATACTGAAGTTATTGTTCTAAATTAAAGTACTGTGATAAACTGAATATGAACACAGACTACTGATAAACCTGATTAGTGTTACCTTTATGGTGAAGCTAAGTATTTCAATACCCATGCGTCCAATGTCAGGAGCTGCAACTTCTCGCACCAGCTGGGCAAATCGGTCCCTGTCCTGGTAGATCTGCTCCACTGTGAGTGTGCCTGTATGTGTGTGTGTGTGAGAGAGAGGGAGAAAGAGAGAGAGAGCTAGGCATTCATGCATACCACACAAGGTCTACATCTACACAAGCACACCTATGCTTAAGAATGTCCGGCTTATGGACAACTCGTACTTACAGACAGACTGCCACAAAACCTATTATATTAAAAACTCAGGTTAAATACAATTATTCGTAATGATGAACACACGTACATGCATTACTCTGTGATGCTCATAAGAAAGACTACACGACTTCAGCAGTTTGTCGGCCAAAGGTCCAGTACAGTACCCTATGTAGTTAATTTTATTATTATTATTGGGGGGGGGGGGGTTGTGTTCCCTGGTTTTGATTATTTACGCCCATTGGACTCCCTGTAGTATTATATAAAGAAGCATTCCACAGAGGAAGAGAGAATTTACCGAGAATGGAACGCAAATGTCCCTCTAAGGTTTGCAGGATCACACTTTTGATTTCTGACACAGACTTGCCCAGGAACTGCTCGCAGGCAACGACCAGAAGATCTCCCTCTGTCATCACTTTCACCTGGTGAAGATAAGCATGCTCTGGTCAAAGGCTCTCCTAAGAAAACTACATTCAACCCATAGCTTAACAGTGTAAATAAAAAAAAATGGCTATCACTGATGTAGACACTTATTTACACATCATTTCCTCATTATATGTATAATAAAGGCAGCTATGACACAAAATGTTACATAATCTATGTATGTATGGAAGATGCATTTTTCCCCCTAGGATAGGAAGGAATGGGAAGCAAAAAAATCCCCAAGAATCACTATGAAAAGTTCACAGACCTTGGAGGCATCTTGGGGTCACCAGGATACAAAAAGCATCATCAGACCCCAGCTCCATTATCACAGGCTCTTTAGAAATGTTGCAAGACCCCAAGACACAGAAGCAAGTGCTTGCCATTTGTCAAAGGTTATTTAAATTATGACTAGGCAAAAGTGCTGTGGTCAGAGGAGACCAAAACTGAACATATCTGTCATGGAGACAGAGAACCATACAAGGAAAGGCACCTCTCCCATGGTGAAAGATGGTGATGGGTCAGTGATGTTTTGGGGCTGGGTAAGATCAACTGCTTACTGGAGGCACTAGGTAAGATCAATTGCTTACTGGATGTCACCAAGTATCAGGCAATGCTGCTGACAAACTGGTTGCCTCTGGTTGCCATAGATCGACTTTCCAGCAAGACAATGACCAAAAACAGACCTCAGAATCCTGTTTCCAAAATCAAGGTTCTGCAATGACCATCTCAGTCACAGAGGGCAGCTGATTGGCGCAAACCTGAGACTGTGACTATGCTTCTGTGGCCCAGTTCTAAAAGATCGCCAGTTCAAATCCCATGGCTGGTAGAATGATTTCACTGTTGGGCCCTTGTACAAGGCCCTAAACCCCAGTTACTCCAGGGACCATCTGACCCTGCTTTCACAAATGTAAATTACCAGTGCTGGGGAGTAGCTAACTAAAATTAGCGACACTCCTAACTACATTTATCTGTAGCTTATCAGTAGCACAGCTACTTTTAAAATGCTGTAGCTTTTCCAGTAACTATTTGATATTATTATTTTTTTTTACAAATAGTGAGGTACCATTGTAAAACACTACATCATTAAAAAATACTACAGGCTGTTGTTGACTTACAACCTATGCGACTTCTGACCAAACATTTTACGACTGTTCCGAGACCGCAGATGGGGCCATGACTGTGCCGTGTCTGGCAGGGCGAGTGTTGCCCAGCATGAGTGTATGACAGTTTCCACCCTGCCTGCCCGCAATGTGAGCATCCCTGCAAGACACCCATTCATTCGTCTAGTGCTCAGGCTACTGTTCGCAGTGGTCACAGTACATTTCAGTCCATTTCTGTTTTAGCAGCTTAAATGGTGATAAAAAAGTTAATATAATAATTAACTAAGAAAATTGTGATAAAAGGTTAAAAACACCAAGCAATATGACTTAAAGATGATATAATTTTATTATAAAGTATACTATATGCACTCACCTAAAGGATTATTAGGAACACCATACTAATACGGTGTTTGACCCCCTTTCGCCTTCAGAACTGCCTTAATTCTACGTGGCATTGATTCAACAAGGTGCTGAAAGCATTCTTTAGAAATGTTGGCCCATATTGATAGAATAGCATCTTGCAGTTGATGGAGATTTGTGGGATGCACATCCAGGGCACGAAGCTCCCGTTCCACCACATCCCAAAGATGCTCTATTGGGTTGAGATCTGGTGAGTGTGGGGGCCATTTTAGTACAGTGAACTCATTGTCATGTTCAAGAAACCAATTTGAAATGATTCGAGCTTTGTGACATGGTGCATTATCCTGCTGGAAGTAGCCATCAGAGGATGGGTACATGGTGGTCATAAAGGGATGGACATGGTCAGAAACAATGCTCAGGTAGGCCGTGGCATTTAAACGATGCCCAATTGGCACTAAGGGGCCTAAAGTGTGCCAAGAAAACATCCCCCACACCATTACACCACCACCACCAGCCTGCACAGTGGTAACAAGGCATGATGGATCCATGTTCTCATTCTGTTTACGCCAAATTCTGACTCTACCATTTGAATGTCTCAACAGAAATCGAGACTCATCAGACCAGGCAACATTTTTCCAGTCTTCAACTGTCCAATTTTGGTGAGCTCGTGCAAATTAAAGCCTCTTTTTCCTTTTTCTAGTGGAGATGAGTGGTACCCGGTGGGGTCTTCTGCTGTTGTAGCCCATCCGCCTCAAGGTTGTGCGTGTTGTGGCTTCACAAATGCTTTGCTGCATACCTCGGTTGTAACGAGTGGTTATTTCAGTCAAAGTTGCTCTTCTATCAGCTTGAATCAGTCGGCCCATTCTCCTCTGACCTCTAGCATCAACAAGGCATTTTTGCCCACAGGACTGCCGCATACTGGATGTTTTTCCCTTTGCACACCATTCTTTGTAAACCCTAGAAATGGTTGTGCATGAAAATCCCAGTAACTGAGCAGATTGTGAAATACTCAGACCGGCCCGTCTGGCACCACCAACCATGCCACGCTCAAAATTGCTTAAATCACCTTTCTTTCCCATTCTGACATTCAGTTTGGAGTTCAGGAGATTGTCTTGACCAGGACCACACCCCTTAATGCATTGAAGCAACTGCCATGTGATTGGTTGATTAGATAATTGCATTAATGAGAAATTGAACAGGTGTTCCTAATAATCCTTTAGGTGAGTGTATATGATGATTTTTTGCATATAAGCTGACAACATCCTGTATTATTTTGCACGGGTACGTATTTTCAACTAGGAGGCGTTTCTGATGGCTGCACTCAGGTTCTCATCCCTGAGGTGGTTTGTCATGTGGTGGATGTGGCAACACGCTGTAATCAGCGCATGCTCCTTACCTTACCTACTTTTCAAAATACAGTACAACGATTTCAAATTACAGTACTGTACAAATCAAATGACTGAACTGTGTATAATTCAAAGTACAGTACATAAAATATAGCATATAGTAGTTTTGTTGCAGCATCTTGTTGGCTTGTTTTTGGTAGTTTATCATAAGTTTTGATGAGTATATATTTGTCACTGAGAGAAAATTACTTTCTTTTTCCCATCATGTTTTCTGTGCATGCAGCATTAGCCTCGGGTAGCTAACGAGAAGCAGGGGGGTCACTGCAAAGCGAAGTAGGACTATCAAGGTAAGATAAAGTAAAAAAAAAAAAAATATATATATATATATACACACAGACTACAAGGGAAGCTCCGCTTCCTCTAATATGTCGTATTTATATTGATTTTAATAAAAGTGCACTACAATGCGTTCAACTTCCTGATGAGCTCGTTCAGAATCAGCTATTTATTGTAGATTGTTTGACGCGATTTTCTTCTCATGCATTTCCGTGCAGCACAGTGCATTAAAACCTCCTGAAGTGCAGCTTCACTGGACCTCTATGGCCCGGCACTGAAGAGGTTTTTTCACTGCAGAAAAGCTGGACGGTTATTGGGTAAATGCACCAAGTTCAGCATCTCTGGGAGTAAATGGAGCAGTGGGCGTGCCAGGATGCTGGGCTGCTGCATGATGAATGGAGGAGCTGTCTAAAGGGCGGACCCCCTTTTTGATTGACAGCATGTTTTAAGTATACACCGGCACTACAGAGATTCAAATTCAGTCCCATGCGGATTTGCAGGTGAAGTCATAAGACAAACTGCTGCACTCTGTGTTGTTTGCTGGTGATATAAGCCATTTTTGTTTGTACAAGTCATTCTTCACGTAAATAAATAAATAAATAAACAAACAAACAAACAAACAATATTATGTAATTCTTGACTTTGCATTGTAAAGTTAGTTCATTCATATAAATAAAGTAGCTTGTGGAAGGGGAAACTAGCCAGCTAGGAAGCTGTGCATAATGGCAGACCATGCTAAATTTGTTGACCTGCTTTAGGCAAAGCCATTTAACAGTCTTCCTTACAAGGAGAGTGTCCTGCCCCGCTCGTCCACTCCTTCCGTGCGCCACGCCCCCCTCATTAACCCCATGTGGATTCCCTGTGTTTACCAGCTGTTTCTGATTGTTGTCATTAGTCTAATGTATTTAAGTCTGCGTTAGGTATGTTTTCCCCAGTCCGGCCATTGACGTCTAACGTCCATTTGTTGTGTTGCCTCATGTTTTCATTAATAAACCCCACATTTCCCCGACTATCGCCTCTGTCCTGCTTCCCTGCTCCGTGCTCGAGCTTAAAGCCATGACAGAATGACCGGACTCACGAACAAGTCGCCTTCCCTCAGCAAGTCGGAATACCTGGACCTCACTAACGAGGTAATATATTCGGTACAACAGCCCGAGGTCCAGGCGGACCCCATGGCTCTCGCCTTGGCTACTCGCACCGGGGAAGTTTTGGAAAGTCTGTCTCCAATCGAGGACGCGCACCTTGTTGATGAGGTGCACGAGAATGTGCGACAACTCTGTAGTGGTGCGGCAGAGGCGAACATGCGGCAGGTAGCCCTAGATAGCAGACTTTTTTCCTGTCCACTGTCTGAGCTACCCAAAGGGCGCCAGTCAGCAGGAAAATGGAAAAAGCGGAGAAACAGAAGACGGGAGAATATGCCAAAACTCTTCTTAGGGGCTATCTCTGTCTCCGCTGCCTACCCTGCAGCATGTCGGGAGGAACGATTCTGGATCCCGTGGTGTTCAGGCCTGCCGTCATAGCCCCATCCAAGCAGACACACGAAGCTCTTCTGCCTGCCGCTTTTCTGTCCGCGTTGGCAGCTAGCCTGCTTTTTGGGACACACCTGGCTGTTAAAGGGGCCAGGTCCCCTGTGGTTCCAGTGCCGACGGTGCCTGCAGTGCTTACTGAGGTTCTTGCCCAGTTCCCCATGGTTCCTGAGGTTCCTACCCAGTTCCCCTTGGTTCCTGTGCCTCCTGCTTTGTCCCCCATAGCTCCAGACCCGGCGGCTTTGGCTGCGCCGCCCGAGGTCTCTGCGCCGCCCGAGATCCCAACAGTACCCATAGTTCCTGCTGCGCCGCCGCCCAAGATTCCTGG